GGGGGGAGTGAGCAAGCAGCTGTGTGGTGCTTAGTTGCTGGCTGGGGTTAAACCACGACACCACCCCAGTAGGATGGGGGCAGAGAAGAGGAAGAGCAAAAGTGAGGAAAGCCATGGGTCAAGATAAAAATAGCTTAATAAGGGAAGAAGGAAAGAGGAAGAAGGAAGAACGAAAAAACCCAAAACCCCAAAATAATAAGTGATGCAAAGGCAATCACTCACCACCTTCCACAAGTACACTGATGCTCAGGCAGTCCCCAAGCAATGGCAACCCACCCAAAAAAACCACCTCCCCTCCGTCTTTATTGCTGAGCTTGATGCTATATGGCGTGGAAGATCTGTTTGGTCAGTTCCAGTCACTTTTCCTTGTTGTGTCCCCTCCCCACATCTTGAGCCAACTTGCTGGGGGTCAGAGTGAGAAACAGACAAGGCCTTGATGCTGTGCACACACCTTTCAGCAACAGCAGATTCACTGGTGTGTTACCAGCACTGGTTTTGTCACTAATCCAAAGCACAGTACCTTGTGGGCTGCTATGAAGAAAATTGACTTCATCCCAGCCAGACCCATTACACTGGGCCAAAGCTTTCTAGTAGGGAAGGAGGGCTGAGGTGGAAAGCCTGATCCTCCACGGATGAAGAAACTGGAGCAAGGGAATGGGCGTTGCAGTCTCTGCCCAAGATGTGGGGTAAAGACAGAAGAGGAGCTTGAGCTGGAGCCAGAGGAGCCCAGCTGGAGCAGGAACTTGCTCATTTTTCTGGGAACAGGGAAGGGAAAGGTGGGGGGAGGGAGATGCAGGTGATGATCTTGTTTTAGCCCTCAGAAAGAGGAACTGCTCCCCTTATTCCAGCCTCTCCACCTCCCCTTGCAGCAGGAGAAGCAAACACTTCTTGCTCTGCTGCTCAGCTGCTGCAATCCCCAGCTCCTTCCTGAGCCATGCCTGCAAAGGGCCTGGCCAGTGGATGCAAGAGGGGTGCGTGGCTGTAACCCACATGAGCCCCCCAGTAGAAATGGTCCATTTTTCCTTTGCGGTGCAGTGAAAGTGGACCTTCATTAGTGGCTGACATGCAAGATTCACGCTCTTGAAATGTACACCACGGGGGGAGATGGTGCCCATCCTGGGAACCCACAGTGAGAAAGATGCCCTCATGGTGGCCCTTGGAAAATATTCACATATTAAGCCAAATACGCTTTCTTATCTCCTCCAGAAAAGAAAACCTTGACACTTCAACAGTTCCCACATTTAAGCCTACCAAGGTGTTTGTTATTAAGGAAAAGGCAAACCCATGACATTTTCAGCATTGCTTTCTAAACAATAATATCTGTCTACAAGGACCTTCTGCTTTCTTCCCCTGCCAGTCCACAAGCAGTCTCAGCAACATGCATATATGAAGGGCCACTTGGTATCTAGAGCTTTCCTATTCAAAGGAACAAAAAGTGTCTGTGTCACCAAGGAAGCTGTGGGTGCAGGCCAGGGCTTTCCTGAGCACTTTCCTGATGGCCTCCCTGACCTCCCTGTTCCGCAGGCTGTAGACGAGGGGATTGACCAGGGGGGTGAGGACAGTGTAGAAAAAGGAGAACACTTTGTTGAGCTGCCTCAGCGGGGCTGTTCTGGGCAGCATGTAGACAACAAAGAGGGTGCCATAGAAAACAGTGACAAGGGTGAGGTGAGAGGAGCAGGTAGAGAAGGCCTTCTGTCTGCCCGTGCCGGATGGGATCCTCAGGATGGCAGCTATGATGCACATGTAGGAGGCCAGCGTGAACAGGAATGGAAAGATTAAGTCCAGGAAGGCCAAGAGGAACCCAATGAGCATGAACACCCCGGTGTTACTGCAGGCAAGCTCCAGCAACGGAGTAAACTCACAGAAGAAGTGGTCAATTGCCTTGGGGCCACAGAACTGCAACTGGGATAAGAAGACTGTGACAACTACCAGCAGCAGTGAACCCCATAGCCAAGATGCAGCTGCCAGGTGTAAAGAGACCTTCCAGGTCATGAGGCTTGCGTAGAGCAAGGGCTGGCATATGGCCAAGTACCGATCATAGGACATGGCTGCCAGCAGGTAGCACTCAGTAGTCGCAAACGAAGCAAAGAAGTAGAACTGAGCCATGCAGCCGTGAGCAGAGATGCTGCTGTCCCCAGTCAGGAAGCTGGCCAGCAGCCGAGGCAGGATGGTGGAGCTGTAGCAGATCTCCAGGGAGGAGAGATTGCCCAGGAAGAAGTACATGGGGGTGTGCAGATGCCGGTCTGCCACCACCAGTACAACGATGAGGATGTTCCCAACCATGGTGACCGAGTAGGTCATAAACAAGAGGAGAAAGAGCAGGTTCTGGAGCATGGGGACATCACGTATTCCCAGCAGCACAAAATCCGTGGATGACGTCCCGTTGTCCCTTTCCCCTTCAGCCATGCAAAGTCTTTTATTTCCTCAGGTGACACAAAGAGAGGCTACGAGAAAGAAACTCATTTCAGCATTTACCTTCAACATTTTTTTATGTAGGACATTGTTCTCTTCACATTAGCTTTAGGTCGTTCATGCCCAGTGAAAGCGTAAAAGAAATGTTCTTCCTGAGGGGCAAAGAACACCCATCCCAGCACAACCACTGCAGACTCTGGAAGCGAGCTGCCCGATGGAAGTTCTTCTTTCTCACTGCAGAATAAATCTATGATGTGCATTTGCTCACACAGAAACAGACAACTTTCATATGCCTGTGGGTATGCCTAGGAAGACGCGTTATAGGTGTTGAGGATCGACATCCTTCTGCTCTCAGGAAAGACAAAGTGTGCCAGAGAAAACAAACCCCACTCTCCAAAAAGCCCCGTTGTGGGAAACGTCATGCCAGACACCACCCTTCCTCCAAAGCAAGGGTTGGGCACGTTGCAGGGTGAGTGGCCACAGCTCTCGGAAACACTCACCTGAGAAGGAAAAGATTCCCACCGCACTCCTTCCCCACCACCCAACAGGCCGATTTCTTCCATTGAGAAAGGGCAGATCAGGAGCTACTGCTTCAGATAACCGAGGGACTGTGCTGCGGGATTGCCAGGGAGCATGCTAAAAACCACATCGTAGGTCAAAATGCAGCATAAAAAGTGAAGTGGAAGTGATCAAAAAAAAGATAGGGAAGGGACAGCTGGGAGTCAACCAAGCCACATGGGAGACGTTGTGCAGGGAGGAAGGGTGGGAGGGAGAAAGGAGACAAATCCAAGACTCTTTTCGGTGGTGCCGTGAAGAAAGGACACATTGAACTACAGGAAATTCCATTTAAGGATAGGGTGGCCAAACACTGGAACAGGTTGCCCAGAGAGGTTACAGAGGCTCCATCCTTGTGGGTATTAAAAACTTGACTGCACATGGTCCTGAGCCACCTGCTCTAGCTGACCCTGCTTTTAGGAAGGGGGGCTTGGACCAGATGATATCCTGGGGTGGCTTCCAAGCCCAGCTACTCTCTGATTCTGTGACTGAAAGCCGCTGGGCAGAACTATTTACTTCACGTTTTTCCCTCCTCAGCAGTGGTTCCTGAGGGCTTTGAGGCTGCTTGCCGGCAAATCCCAGCCCGGCAGCAGGACCTCAGCATGGCCAGCTGTGCTTGTGGGGCTCCCTGAAAAAGTAGGACATCGAGCGGGGTGTCCACAGGGTGCCTAGGGGTGAGGTGGGAGAGGATCAGGGTCAGGGGCATGGGCAATGTCAGGGACATGCCTCAGCGCATGACTGGAGAAAGCTCATGCCTGAGAAACACAGCTCTCGGCAACAGCAGTTCCCTTCAAGTGTCTGACACCCCCCTCTTGGGCTGGAATGCATTTCTTCCAGCAGTGATCATCACGGGAACTGTTCTGAGAGTTTGCCAAAAGCTATTCAGAATGACTGACACCCCAGCCCTCTCCACTGCATGGGAGTGAGAAAGCTGAGAGCTGGAGAGCAAAACCTGCATGATCATACTTCCGAGAGAGTGAGAATACAAGCAAAAGCCAGCAACAACAAAAAAGAAAAACAAAACAAGAGACAACGGCAAGAGCCCTGTGAACGATGAAGTGAAGGGCCCAGGGCAATGTGGCCTCACACAGCCTGCCCAAATGCTCCCCCGCCCCCCAGCTAGGGTGGGAGAGTGTCCCAGGGCTGTCCCTGGGACCTCACTGTGCAGTGCCAGGGGCTCCGGGGTGCCTGGGGGAAGGCGGGAGCTGGGGTGGGAAGACAGGCAGGAAAGGAGAAGGCTGAAACTCAGGTCTCTATGCTCTCGCTTCTTCTGTTGAAAGACCCTGCAGATTGACTAATAAGACCCAGCCTTCACTCACCCTCAGTACATCCAGCCCAAACCTGCGGTCCTCAGCATGAAGCAGTGACGTCTGCTCTGATGGATCAGGGCAATGAAGTCCAAGGTCAGGGTCTTACCTTCTGCCCCTTCCCTACCATGTCCTTCACTTCTTGGACCGCACTGCAAGCCCTGAACCAGGGCTCGTTCCTTACTCTGCCCTTGCCCTCTTCTCCCAGCAGCTCCAAAGGTGAGTCTCCAGCAGTACCTGAAGGCTCGCTGCTCTCGGAAGTGTCCCAGGGTTTATAGCAGAAAGGGGACTCTAAAGGTTTTGGCTGCAGTGTGTCCCTCCTGAGGGTTTGCAGAGAGTAAAAACAATCTAATGGACTCCCTGGTGGGATGGAAGCTCTGAGGTGGTGGAGACTGCGTCTACAGCTCCAGGCAGAGCTGACGCCCTGGAAACATGATGTAAACTGAGGCAGGGCAACTAAACCAGGGACATCTCTGAATCTGGTGAGCAGGACAAGAAAGTCGCCAGAAATGGCATTCACCTCACTTCCCTTCAGATGACTGCATCTTCATCAACTCACATAGAATTAGAAAGCCTCAGACCTTCTGAGGCAGAGGGGCCTGGCTTGTTGGGAGCTGAAGGCAGCAGAGCAGTCGGTGTGTCCTTCCAGAGAGGATTCCTCTCTTCAGCAGGGGAGGTGCACAGGGGCCTGCCTTGCTCTTTTGCTTGCCAAGGGGAGCAAGTGGGCATGACTCCTTCCAGTCCTGTTGGACATGCAGTTCACGACAAGCACCTCCTCTGCCTCTGCCCCAGCCCTAGCTGGAAAGGCAGGAGAGGGAGACTCAGTGGACATAGAATGCTTTGGGATGGAAGGGACCTTTAAAGGTCATCTAGTCCATCCCCCCTGCAATGGCAGGGACATCTACAACTCGATCAGGTTGCTCAGAGCCCCATCCAGC